TTATCACAGGTCTCTAAGCAAAAACTGAGAGCTGCAAATGCTGTACGTCTTTCTTTTATCCAGTTATGATTCCTAGTTTTTACACAAAATTCACTCCCCCCACACTCCCTCCCAAACAGCTCAAAATTAAAGAAATTAAGTAAAAATTTGTTTAAAAGGAAGCTCGTAACTCTGGTTAGCTGTAATAAATAATTCACAACACTGTCTTAGCCACCATGACCAACATGACAATCTGCCTAAGGGTGAGCAGTCAGCAATGCAGTTCACTCCTGTAATAGCTAGTGTGTGTAAAAAAGGTCATTCCTCTTTCATACAATTCATCCATTTCCTTGAGTTTTCTTTTGATTTGAGCTGTGGGTGCAGATAAGGATAAATGAAGGTGGTAACTACAGGATTTATCAAGCACTGAAAAGCAAGACCTTGTGATATTTTAAACACACTTCACACACAGTTACCAGCCAGCTAGAATAAAGGAGAAAAGTACCAGAATAATGGATGACTTGCTATATTATTAGTAAATAAATACAACTATACAGGACACAAACCTACAAAAAAAACCCAGCACAGACAAAAAAAGACAACATCAGTTATATCTTGCTACCTTTGGTGAGTCATCAAAAACAGAAATAGAAGCCTATGCCCTTTGAATCTGTTCTCTTTCTGGTGTTTAATTTTTTTATCACAACACACTACAATTCATTGGGCAAGCTCTTGGGTTTCAAGCACCCTCTAGCCTTGTTCTTTTGTTAATTACTGCCAGGTAGATTGAATTATTGTTAGTCTGCCAAATGTAATAATTCTAGAATAGCACATTTCATACATGAAATCCCTGTAAATGCCCACAACGTCAACTCCATTTTTTTGGTTTGGTTTCTTTTGAACTCATGCAAGAAACCTTTGTTTTTTTCCCCTATGTGTATTTCACGAAGATTTTCCTTTAGGATCTTTCTAACACCAAAGCACTGAAAAGATAAAACGTATCTCCATAGTAACACAGTCTTGTTAGCATAGTCTGAATGTAAAAAGAGAGGAAAAACAATTATTAATCCCCAAACTGTACGGATTTCTCTAACGTGCCTTTTCCAGGGAAAAATACTACAGAAAAGTAGAAAAATTTGGTCACGGTTAATTAAAATATGAATTTTAGATATGACTGAGTAGCGTTTTGTGCAAACCTCACACTCACTTTACATCTTTTACAAGCTCTGACCTTATCCATTATACATTTTATTGTAACTATTTTCCCTCATCACATCACATTAGCGACTATATCCTTTATTATGCAATTCTGACACACGTTCAATATCCTACTGGTGGTGCAACTTTAGCTAGAGATTGCCCTCTAAAAGCCGGCCTAAAAAAAGCCCACTTCTTTGGAAGCAGGAAGTTGCCCATTAGTTTTGAAAAACTGAAAATCAGTTGCTGAACCCTAGCGCACTGGTTGTTGGTCTGTGTGTTATTTGGAACCACCACAGTTCACTGCCAGAACATATGAACTGTGTTATTATTTTCACTCACTTTATTCCTTCCCTTGCTACTCCATGCAAAACATACACATAAGCTAAGTTATAAACTCAAACTGGGACAGAGCTAATGCTTTACCTTTGCACTGACTGAAATGCAAAACTTTTTTTTTTGTTCATAGTTCACTCTGTGGGTAATGCCAGCTTTATTCAGAAAAGCATAGCTGAGTAGCACAAACTCAGCTGTTTTGCCTATCCTCATTGCTGCACACATCAGGCTAAGGAACCCAGAAAGGAAGGAGAAAAAAAAAATGCACCTTTCCTGAGAGCAATCAAGCAATCAGTAGTAAAATCTGTTAGGCAGTGCAGTCAAGGAGTGTGCTACAGGAACCAAAGCACCTACAGCATGACCATGAAGGTGGATTAGAGAACCGAGATGAGAACAGGGCTTGCCTGCAGCAAGGAGCATATTCTCAGAAGTGATAAAATGAGGGTGCTTGCCAAGGTACCAGGAAATTCATGCAACCCAGAACATCACTGCATGGCTGGATAGAGGATTGACGGGAAAGGATCCGTGCTGTACAGTAGGCAGGGTTAATTTGTTTTCTTACTCCACCAAACCTAAGTTTCATCTATTTACAGAGCCACTAAGTTTAATAAAACCTACTTTAAAGATTAGGGGCTTTTTGTACTTTTTTGGCATGCTGACATTAAGGAATAGACTGGGAACTCACATTTTAAAGCTTCAGCTAATTTGGAACCTCACCAAAAGCACATAAAAACATAGGCTTCTAGTGCAAAGTGGTAGCGTAAATAAATCATAAATATGCTGGTGACTACATAAATTCCTGAAAATTAGCAAATAAACAGCTTAAGATGAATAATGCATTAAATTACGTCTTTGCTCACTTGTGGCAGATGTACATCAGATTTTTTGTTTGCATATTAATAAATTGTCAAGCTTCTACAACCTATGGCATAGTAAAAATAAAGGATCGTGAAATCTGATCTGAAAAAAACTCTTTCTTGAAGTCTCAAACAAGTGCATCAAGAAGGCATTTCTTCATTTTACAAGTTCACAAAACAGCTAAATTTATATTTATTTATTCTACTGCATAAAATTCAGGAATCCCTTCCTAGATAGGTCTAAACTTCAGGTTAAGAAATTATAAATGTGTTTCCAAACCTGCTACCAGCATAGCTGCATAATACTCAAGGTCATTCACACTGAATTTAATAAAACTCTTCTGTTTTGGTCTTTTTAGAAGCTAACTGATCTGGTAAATTTTGCCCAGAGTTCATCACCAGTATATCACTAGGACTTATAGTCTACAGGTAAGTGTTTAAAAAAACAATTAAAAAAACTAAATAGAAAAATAAGAAAAAAAGCTCTTCCAAGTCCACATCTACAATCAGAAAAACAGCATGTTACAGTTACTTTTGTTACTTCTGACATAAGATCACAAGAATATTTGTACATAATCTCAGTGAAGATATTCCTTTTCACAAAAACTGTCAGCTTACTGAGGATCAAAATTAGAAGAACATTATGACAAACATTTGGATTTCAAACTTCCATCTCCAGGTTGGATGTCCACCTGAACTACTTCATCATATTAAAATCTGATATTCTGGCCCATTTAACAGAGAACTATCAGTCTACAGCTGTGATAGCTGATCACATTATCATACAAAATACATGATTTGGACAAATACCTTACAGTCATTATATATTCTAATACACTCAAGACTGATTTTTTTTTTTTTTTTTTTTT